TGATTTTAGTAAATATAAATAAATATACCTATAATATATATCTGTTGACCTTGGACACAAAGGTCAACGACATCAGAGTTCGACTTGAAAGGCATGTCAGTGAAAACAGCCGTGACAGTTGCTGTGAAACCACTGTACTTTTTGGAGGAAGTCAGAAGTGACAGGATGCGATGAGGCCTTGAAGGATCGGTGACAGTGAGTGACACAATTGGGTTCAGAAACTCCACTCGCCTCAGGGATCAGCTGTTCAGTTGCGACCTCAGGGGCAGAGGAGCAGAGACGGAGAAGATTGCATTGGAGGAGAAATGATCTGCTGACCGCACGACGGTCTAACGACGAGTCACGAATCGGTTAAAAAAACGATATAATCGATGCATGACAACTCGGACAGATTGACGTGAAAAAAAAGTGTGGTGTATCAAGGACTCACCGGTCATACCATGACACTACACAGTCCAGGACAGTAGGTGGCGGTATACATTCAAACTCCACTCTCTCCAACATCATCATCATCATCATCACTCCGTGGTCAGAGTAAACATCAACCACAGACAATGTATTTTCTCCTTCTTCTTCTTCTTCTTCTTCTCCTTCTTCTTCTTCTCCTTCTTCCTCTTCTTCCTCTTGTTCCTCTTCTTCTCTCCTTCTTCCTCTTCTTCTTCTCCTTCCTCTTCCTCTTCTTCTTATTCATCATCATCTTCTTCTTCTTTCTCTTCTTCCTCTTCTTCTTCTTCTTCTTCTTCTTCCTCCTCCTCCTCCTCCTCCTCTTCTTCTTCTCTTCTTCTTCTTCCTCTTCTTTTCCTTCTTCTTTTCCTTCTTCTTCTTCCTCTCCTTCATCCTCTTCTTCACTGGTAATTAGAGAACAGGGTTAATGAGTACATCATTAACTGAGTACTGACTCCTGTACTGCAGTACTTCACCAGTACACATACTGTACTCTGATTACTCTGGTTTGTGGTAACAGCAGTAACAACAGAGGACAGTGTGAGTTATTACCAGTTTATTACCACTTTATTCGGCTACACCCCAGACATCAACTCCACAAACGTATCGTTGACCTTAAGCTGTCGACGGGTCATGTGATCGTTGCTGAGTCGGTGGCATTTTGTTTTTTAATTATTGTGGTATTGTCTTGACAGGTGGTTTTATCTTGACAGGTGAAGACGAGCGGTAACTCTTCACAGAATTAGTGTTTGTAAACTTTTCCACGCAGATTAACGCAGACTTCCTCATTTCATTCTACGCCGCGCTGCTCAGATTTCAGGTTTTGTTATCGCAGAGATTTATTTTCTAATCTCTTCGGTAACGATGAGGAAATGAACCTGCAGGTGATCGGGTGTCACTGAGTCAAAACACAACTTAAAACAGGCCACACTTCCCTGACGACTATCGCTGTCTTGGCAGCAAAGTAATGCTCTCTCGCTCTCTCTACAGAACAATAAAATAATAATAAATATATATATAAGGAGAGAGAGAGAGAGAGAGAGAGAGAGATCATCAAAGTGAGCTGACCCCCCCTCAGATCCATAGTGACCCATTGATCCCCCCTAGCCCTCCCACTGTCCCTTCATCATCAGTAAAAACAGAGTCGTGTTCTGTTGATGACATTTGTTAGCTACCGCTAATGGTGCGTTCAGGTGATACACACGGATGTCGAAATTTCCGCCGTTGAACTCAATCACAGGACATAAACAGGAAAACACGAAAGAAAAACTATAAGTAAAAATATAAAAATATAAAATACATAAATATAAATGAAACTATAAGAGTATAAATACTTTACTCCAAATTTACTCATTTCGTTGAACACAACGCTGTTTTACTCACAGGAATTGAAGAAAGACACACCAAAATCTTCAACAGTTTCAACAGATTTTTTTTTGTTTTTGTAGCCATCTGCTGCCACCTAGGGGAAGAGTAATTGATTGCTCTGCCGGTTGCTGTCACATCT